ATTTTGTCGACATAATCTGACAGACAATCTAACAGAAATGAAATCTGTGCACTCAACAGATTTGATTCAATTTCCAACTGCCAATCTATTTAAGAGTCTTGACTAGTCACTGTGGCCATATTGGAATTGTGACATCATAGGCGAGAAATGGCACAATAAAATTTATGTCGATAATTTTGCAAATAAAGAGATATTTGACTAAAATAACACTGGCTTTAAGACACTTGTGAAAATGGGCGACTGCTATTCTTTCCCTTCCTGATAGTCAATAAATAGCTGTAAAAGGCACGTGAAATAAAACTTGTTCAGGCAGGAAACACACGATTTGACAGCTGTTGAAAGAAGTGAAAAAAATGCTTTCACATATAATGTCCAACGATAATTTTAGCTGCCGCCCAGCACCTTTTTTTACGACTCTGATAAACACGAAATAAGTCATATCTGCACGATTAAGCACACAATAACGAAAATAGTCGTTATAAAAAATTTCATTGTCCACATGTCACTTGTATGAAGATGAATAAGAATAAGATGAACAAGGATGTAGGAGCTTCTATTTTTCACCGCGAGTATGTCAACGCAAAGTTCTTCGCTGAGTAGTCAGGGGCCTTAAGAAACGTAACAATCAAGTGATGGCTTAATTCTTGTTTGCAAATGAATTTTTAGATTCATATTAGAAATATATACAAATAATAAGTGCGAATGCGCTTGTTCAATAGTTGCACATTTATTTAATTTTTTGAACTTGTGTGTCAAACTGTTATATCACAAGCACTCTTGATTCTTCATTTTATCTTTATCTGCGATATTTTGTTGACAAATTTTACTTTGGTATCAAATCTATAGTCTTTCTGCTGACAAAATTTGTGATGAATATTTTGTATAAACTCTTTTCAATAGCACTGGCTATTTGGGAATCTAAAACAGAGCTTACCTCATCACAACGAGATATTAAGAGTCGAGAACCAATCTCTTTGCTGATAAATGTGACAGTGGTTTTACCAGGACCCTCATATGCAGCTGCATTTTTTGTTATATATGTGACATGTAAATTCCTGCAATAATTGTAGATGTATTTAAATGTTGAAAAATTTGAATATATTTTATATTCAATCTATTTGAATAGTTTTGAATAAAAAAATCGACCAAGTTTGAATAATTTGGACAAACTTCAATAGTATTTGAGTTTAATCAATCTGTAATCTCAATTATATTTAAAATTCATATAATTTAGATGATAAAGAATATTAATATACATGTTGGAAATAAGAGTAGATTTTTACGAATCATTTTTTTCTTTCACGCATATATCACATTAATCTGAAGTGAGTTCAAATTGTTTGACATACTTGAATAGAAAATATTTAATTTTGAGATTTAAACTGTCCAAACTATTCAATCACCTAACGTTTTCAAAAAGTAGCTATTAATAGTCGAAGTTTAGAAATATTGCGCAATTGTCAACAAAAAATAAACAACAACGTTTTGTTTTTCAATCAATCTTTTATAACAATCATTGATTTCATGTTTCGTGCATAAACATGACATACCTGCAGCTTTGCAATATTTGTTTCAGTTGACACAATCTGCTAGTCACATTCATCGTAATATTTCGGAGTGAAATCTATCGCGATGCAAATCTGTAGCAATGGACCAATTCAAATCAGTTGAGATCAATTATATTCCTTACGATAATATGACCGAGCGTGACACACCACTCAATGCAATCAGGTTAGGATACGCACTCGCATTTTCTCTCTCTCTCTCTCCCCTCCTCTCTTCCGCTCTCCCTCCTTCCTTCTTTCTTTCCTTCCCTCCCTCTCGTCTTCTGATTCCATGTGGCGCGCGAGAGTAGGCCAGTATTCATAATTGATTCTTATCTTAAGACCATCTTAAGTAATGTCTTAAGATATTAATATCGCTCTGTGATTGGTTGATAACTTTTTAAAACAATACTGTGCTTTCCATTTAGTGATACAAATCGACACAAGTATCACTCTATCTTTCTTGGCTTTCAATGATTAACAAGGACAAAATGATACTTGTGTCGACCTCGAAATCGATTTCCATGTCGAATGTTTCTTCGTTAATTTCCGAGCGATTCACTGGAAGAGAACGTCGTCGTCATGCATCAATCGGCTTTCTCGTCTCGCATCAGGATTTCAGGATACGGGATTCGATGGCCCGAGCGAGAAGTGACGAACGCAATAATCCGAACCAGGTGTGGCGATTTAAAATCATGGCGATGCGCGGTCAGTCGCGGTGGGCGCCCCTTCCTATTTTTTCAGTATATTTTTAGCAATATCGCGTATAAATACACCATCGTGAAAAGATACATTATTTCAATGTAACGTCGATGAACAGCGATCAGATTGAAAATGAGCAAGGGTTGCTGGAAATTCGACGAAGAGGATAAGGGTGAGCTCGCGATATTCTCTCTTTCTTTTCTCTCTTTCTCTGTCGCGCGCGCGAGATCCATGAAATTGATCGATGTTCATCTTACGATTTCGCAATTCGGAAAGAGCCGGGATACTCCATTTGCGCGATTTACATTTTCGATTGTGGGTTCTCGGTCCATCATTTCAAGTTTTCGTTTTGATCAAAGGGACAATAGTCGTGCATTTGTATGTAAACATGCACGACTCTATATAGTTTTGTATACATTTTTTTCTGATGTAACATTCGAATACTTATACATACATACACACACACACACACACCAGTGTGTGTGTGTGTGTGTGTGTGTGTGTGTGTGTGTGTGTGTGTGTGTGTGTGTGTGTAATCATTTACTATGTTTACACAGCGACATTAATCCAGTTTAATAACAACAACAAGTAGTTAGTGAAATCTTGCGTTAGATTGGTACATTCTTTTAAATCTAAGATTGTGGTCTAATTAAATACAAAAAATTACTAACTACGTTGTTACTAAACCGATTTAACGTCGCCGTGTAAACGTAGTAATTACGTAGAATGTAGAGAATATCGGCATATGAGAGGTAACTCTGGCTAACTCCTCAGCGAGGAAAACAATCGTTGAAAGTAGTCTCAAGATTAATTTGTAATCGAGATCGACATTATCTAAAAATAATTCATATTTAAGGTAGACATATATAAATAGATCGATACGAGGAGATAGAAAGAGAGAAAACACTTGCTGTAAATAAAAGTTTAGTTTGTTATAAAGAATAAAGCAAATTTTATCTGCCAAGCCTTGTATATAGATTTGGAGGAGGAAGACACAGAGGAGGATAAGCTGTGCAAAAAGTACAGTTCTTGGGATCAGGTACCAGACATTTTGCTGGAGGAGATATTCTCATATTTAACTATTCGCGAGCGCTACTATGCATCTTTGGTGTGTCGATCATGGTATCGAGCTTTCAAGCTACAGAACGTATGGTCCACATTTACTCTAGAAGACACCACTCTCACGCGGGGAAAATTTAACTACTACAGTGGCTGGCAATATGTTCTGGATCACATAAGAACGTCCACCTGCCTGAATAAAGTCGGGAGAAACTTCCGTTCGCTTATATTCGAACCTATGCTGAATTTCTACAATCTCTATGAATTTATGAATATGATATCATGGTATGCCGAGCGGCAAGGCTCGGACAATACGTCTGTGGCTGGTGTGGGTACTTATATAAGAAGGCTAAAATTTACCTTTCCCTGCAACATGGCAAACAGGGATGATCCCGATCGAATCAGAGTTTTTGGCACAGGAGGGAAATTGCTGGAAGCACTCGAGAGACTCATGAGAAACTTGCAGAATCTTAGATGTCTGGAACTGATAGACCTAATGCTCGAGAGTAATGAAGCGTTACACTTGATGGATGATATCTGTACAAATTGTACTCAGACTTTATCAAAATTGATACTGATAAATACTACTCGTTATAATTGTCCATTATTACATGTAGGAGTGTTCATTAACTTAAATGTAAGTATATCATTTAACACACATTTAACTAATCATTCCTGACATTGCGTTAAAAATACTTTTAGGTCTTAGTTATTAGCCCCCAAAATTTGCACGAGGATGTAATAGAACTAATAGGTTACACAAAATTAAGACATCTTCATATTTTACAAAATCGATACAGTCCAAAGGACACCACTATAAGATTGGTATTTACAATCTCTATATTCCAATACATTTTCCTTAATTCTTTTATATAATAGATACAGCAACAATATGTTTTATTTCAGCCAAAGAGATCATCTTGGATCAAGATGAAAATGAACAATCCCTATTTAAAAGTACATTTTGAAATAGAAAGCCATAAAGCCACTGATATTCTTTTGCCTATCGATTTATTAGAACATGGCGTTATACCATGTCAAAGTATAGTACTGGATAATCCAAACACACAAGTCAGTGAAATAATAATTATGAATTTATATATCATGGAAAAGTAGTATAAAACTTTTTTTATATATATATATTAATATTTTATAGATTTCACCGTCAATGATACTTACTCATGGAGCGTTTTTTGACTCGACGATACGGGTATATGCTTTTAAGGGAGTAACGAAGTACTATCTGCACAGGAGCTTTGCCAAAAGATTGGATGAAGTGTTGGTGCAATTCTGCCGAATGTGCCCGAACCTGCATACACTGGTAGCATTTTGTATTTGAATAAAAAAAAGCTTGTGATGGCTTTCCTAAAATTCTGGTGTTAACAACGCGACTTTACAATGTGCAGGCATGCATTCATACCTTTACACATTATGAAAATTTTTCTTACTATTGTGTGAGTGTAAGTTCCTCCTAACTATTCTATAGACTTACTTCCCTCGATGCTGCGCGTACTAAATATTAAAGGTCCAAGCTTTTCAATCTTTTTATTTAACATATTCCGAAATATAGAAATCTTCTTCTTTCTGCATTTATGTATTCAAGTAATTACACGTCAAATATGAATTATTTAGATTTCAAGTAAAATTTTTAATTTGTAAAACTTGTTTATATTCAAGATGGATGTTACGAATCATCGGCTATCTAGCTCTTCTTCTGAATGCCTAATATAATAACTAATAAAAAAAGAATTGAGACACTGCTATTCTATCTATATTTTAGGAATGTGAGACTATTGGAATACAGTCATTTGCAGTTTCCTATCAATTTACAATATAACGATAAATAATATTTCTTTTACAGATGATCCGAGATAAGATATCGACTGCTACAATTTTAGAGATTGTCTCTACCGCGAAATACTTACGCTGCTTATATGTTCGGCGAAACGTTATCCTGAAGAGATGTGACAGAGCTTGGTCGAAAATTCTGGATAGGTCACCCGAGTATTATCGATGGATCAAGGTAAATAGCCGTAGTTATGAGAACACGGAGAAGGAAGTATCCAGAATATTGGGCTATCGATGGCACATGTTATCCGAAAAAGAATTTAAAATGCAAATGATTAATTTGCATATATAGATTATAAAAATTGTTTGTAAAGCAATTTGAGAAAATTATCCCAGTAGTAAGTTATTTAAGCATATTATAATAAAAGTTATTATAATAAAATAAAGGAATAGAAAAGAAAACATAAAATTCTTGTAAAAATAATTTAAACTTTTAGTTTTTATATGTGAAACAAAAAAGTCCGTTTATTTATATATAAAAATCATATTTATATTTTAATAAATGGCTTTCTCTTCTCTCTCTGTAAATAATTTAATAGTAAGTGACTGATAATCCAATTGTCCTAATAATATAAATCAATCAATATTCAATAGCAAATACATTTTTTCATATAATATATATAAAAATTTCTTTTTTATCAATTAACATTATGATAAATCTATTTTTAAAATGTTTGTTTTATATAAAATATTTAAATAAGTATCTGCTTAATAAGCACTATAAGAGATAAAGTACTTCAAGAAATAACATTATATGAAATAAGAACTGCTTATCTCTTATCCATGACACTAAGGTCGTAAGGGAAACGTTTCACAGATGCTTTTCTCTTTTTTTTTTGCATCATCTACTAAATAAAAAATTATTTTATCTATAAATGACAATAATTTATACAAATATATTCCAATTTTTTTAAATTATTCTTTATAATCTACTTTTTGATAAAATAAAGGAATGTGAGACTATTGGGATACAACTTATTAGGAAAATTACTTTATATATCATAAAATAAACATGAAATTGTATGCACTTATTGATAGGATTATACATATGCTAACTTTATCAACAAAAGTATTAAAAAATGAGATGATTGATACTTTTATTAATAAATATATGCATTCACTATTCTAATTTACCATATTGTGACAAAAACTGTTTTATTCAATTACATAAGAATATTTATTTTTTATAGTTTTGAAAAATTCTTTAATTTTGTAATGAGTTTGTTTGTTTTATTTCGGATATCATATAAAATATAGTTGATTATAACTTATCTGCCTTTTAGGAAATAAAAAGTATTATATACAATATTTTCAATTATATAAATCGTTTAATAATGAGATATGCAGTTTGCCGAAAATTTATATCAATTTATATCAAAGGGAAATTTTAACATAAAACGCTAATTGATATAAATTTTCGGCAAACTGCATATCTCATTAATAAACGATTTATAATATGTAATACTTTTTTATTTTCTAAAAGATATATATATATATAATAAATATAATAAATAAATATATATATAATATATATATATATATGAAATATAATAAATATATATATATAATATATATATATAATATATAATATATATTAGTAAACGAGATAAATCAATGAATTTTACATTTTTCGCTGCTAATATAAATAAGAATTCTACACTTGTGTAAATTCAAAAATTTATGTAATATATTTATTACATTTGTATATTGATATTCCTCTTTCCCTTTTTCCTCTTCTTAAATAATAGATTGTTGTTATGATTGTACGCTTGTTATTAATGACAAGTCATGTAATTATATGCTTTATATTATTTTTATATAAAACTGTGTCATAATCATTATAAAAGTAGATATAGAGATTGAAATGTACTTAAAATATTACATCACTGTACGATTTTGATTGTATTTTACGTTGTACGTTCTTTTTTAATCAAAGTGACTGTGATCAACATTTTTAATCGAAAGATAACGAAATCTGTTAGATATTTGTTGGAATGTTTTGTGGAGAAAATTGTAAAACAGTAATAAAACAGATAATTTTACATTTATTTTTGTTTAACCTATATTTTAGATTAATTGAATACGTTGTTACAATTTACATTATATAATTTTAATTATGTACAATTCTAATTAAATGTTTCATACGCTTTACTGTGTGTGTGCGGGGGGGGGTATAGTTTCTAGACTATAATTATTATAGTTACTACATCTATATTGTGTTGAGACTTGAGACTTATTGGATTACACTGTAAATGCAAACGTTTCAAGTTTTTGTACAATCAATATGACCAAGAAAGTTAAATATTAAGAATTCTTATTCAATGATACACCTTGATATTGACTGGGAAGAAATTACAAATTAGAAGAGACGAGATCATTTTTTCTTAAAGAAAAAAAAATTTCAAAGTGTATTCAAGGAATCAATAAAATATTATCAAATTTTGTGAAAATTGATGCATCTCAGAGCGTCTCTCCTAGTGAACATTGTTTAATGAACAATAAAGATGAGATGATTTCAGAGAGACGTCAAACGGAATACGTTTTAGCGTGTTTAGGAACTGCGTTGTTAATGCTGTTTGATACAAAAACTATTCGAGGGGTTGCTCAAATACTAATAAATACATTGATTAATAGAAGTATGTCATGTTATAGCTTTATATATTGCAGATATTATTTCTTAAAAAATATAATTGTAATATTGATAATAGCAAATTCTGTGAATGCGTTGTCAATTTTCAAGTGTTTCATTTACACAATACTAATAATTACTAGAAAACACCTTAATGTTGCGCTATCGTAGAATTGGCATATGCCAGCATTTCGTTAGCTTCTCAATGAGAATTCGAAATGCTTGTCTACAAGATGATGGCAATTTTCTAGAATGCATCACATCATAGTTACTACACTATTAATTATATATACACACACACTATAAATGTATTTGAAATAATTTTATGAGTAGTATCCGTTTGCACAATGAAATTTACGAGAAATGTTTGAACTAAACATTATATAATTCCATCTGAGTGATTGAAACATCATTTAATTTCATTGCCAAAATAATGTATATACAAGAAAAAATCAGCGACAATCATAACAGTTTAAGACATTCAAATGATAAAAGATTCAATACACGTACTATATATAAAATAATTTATGTAAAATGAGTTTATTATTATCGGCATTATTGTATATATACATATTCAACTTGTATATACACTTGGACTTTATTAAACATTACTAAATAAATATAGTTATTATAAAGTGACGAGATAGATCACATTTCACATCGACAAAATTTGTGAAAGGATAGAGGATACATATTACATGGAATATCTGTACAATTTTGACCGACAATAGCGATTTACTCTATTATTATAAATTTATAGTTGCAATAAATTAAAAGAGAAATTGAAGTATATTCGTAGGGACTGCGCACAATGCGCAAATATTAGGAACAGAAATAAATATTAAATTTTCGAAATGAAAATTCAGAATAAAAATTAAATACAACGCACAATGAATATAAATAAGTATAAAATATCTTATAGTCATATCTTATACTTATTTGTATTCAGTGTGCCTTACGTTTAATTTTTATTCTAAATTTTTATTTCTAAAATTTAATATTTATTCTTATTCCTAATATTTTCCTAATATTTCCTCCATTGTGCGCAGGGCCTTACACTAAAATGAGACAACCGGTATTAGGAGCAGAAGTATGATTACGGTGCTATAGCTGCAGATCGTTTGTCGCGATTCTTGTTGCGCTGAATGGTGCGTGCTTTGAACGCGGCTGCATTCATTAACGTCTATAAATCGAAAAAGGAAAAACTGATATTTAATCTTGTAACTAAAACGAGCAAATGCTTCTATTAATACCTACTCTTTCTAATTTACTCGTTTTGATCGTAATCGGTGGAGGTAGAACTTTGTTACCGAGATGAAAGATCTCGCGCAAGAGTTGGTTTTCAGCAAGATGAAAATTAACACCAGTGCCTAACAGCCGGCAACAGGCATTGTACTGAGTCCTCGCGCACCATCCCTCCAAGTATAAAACTTCTTGGCCAAATCTCACATGCATTTCCGGAACGATATCTTCCTAAAAGTAAAACGAAGCGTCCAGTATCTACCCGTTGTATCTTAGTGTTAGCATGAGGCATCTCCGAGCTTGTTTTTGAAACATTTAGGATAAACAGCGTGCATGATATATAGCTTTTACCTCGATATAATGTAGAATATCTCTGAAGTTAGCGCGTTGTTGTTTACGATCTTTCTTAGCTCGATACTTGTTAGAATCTGTGGCGAGTTCCTTAAGAATTTCAATCAGATCAAGTGCCCAATTCTGTTCATAGTCGCAGGAGAAATCACGACCAAGTTCAAATATTACTGCTAGTGCTTCGCCGGCTGACAGGCGTACATCGAGATGCGGCGATTTCAGCAATTCACGCAATCGATTCAGTGAACTGAAAGAGAAAATTTGCCGTAGTTGTCGCAGTTTGGCAATCACGTCCCCACATGTCTCGACAATTGACGACTTACGGCATATAACTGTTGGTTCTACCACTGGCGAACAAATTGTAGATATCCATAGATGTCATAACCGTGAGAAGCAGAGTCCACGATGAGATAGCTGCCACGTGAAGCGCTGCCACGTCCGTGGATATGTTTGCGATCGCGCCATTTCCTTTCAAATAAGAACCAGAGAAGATAGATGAAAGTAGCTGTGCAATTTCCATGGTGTCGGTCGCATCATTGCCTGATAAGAATTGATTCATAGCCAACGCCCAACAACACTGAAATTATTTTATAAAAATTTTATCATTTTATCGGTGAATCATATATCAAACGTGCCGTCTTAATGATCTAAAATATATGTAATATGTAGAGTATTAAAAGAGGAAAAAATGAGACTATAGTACGTAAAAGTGAATTTCCAGAGCGATAAAAAATATTCAATCTATATAGATTAATAAAAATCAATACTTTCAATATAAATCGTAACTTTCAATTTTAGTTTTACTCACAAAGTCACAATTATGATTGTGGACATGAAATTATTTTATTTAATTTTATTTTTTCAATATTTTTTATATTTTTTTCCGCACAATGCCAACATCTAAAGTTATAAATCGATGTACATTTTCAAATACATTTAGTCCTTTTGATATTTTGCATTTCCTAATCGTTTCCTATTGCAAGTTTGTTATATCACGCGTTACACTTATATTCGGCACGTAAACAAAAGAAACGTTTGTTGTTTATTACAGAAAAAATTATATTTTATATCGAAAATATATAAATAAATAAGAGGCTTATGTTAATGCATCGACTACTGTGACGATTATCGACACTGATCTTTTCATTCACATCGCATCTGTCACTGATTATCGATTGTTGCTCACATTTACAATACATTACAATACATTACAATGTAGAATATGCAATTTACATTTATAAGATTGACATTTATTTCTATTACAATTTAGATTAAATTTAACCTTGGTCCAACTTGTTACTTTACTTTTCTTTCTAGTTTTATGAATTAAAGAAAGATAAAAAATCAATTAAACTGAAATTAAAATTAATGGGCATTGATAGAAATGAGTATGATTGAATATGAATAGCGGAATGATAACAAAATGCACCGATAAACAAATGAGTATTTTTATTTATTACAATATTTTAATTTCGTTTTTTTCTTCCATTACAAAATAAATGAATAACGTTTGATGGAAACGAAAAAAAATAGTTGAATTTTCTTACTCTTTGTTTTTCTATACTCATTTATATTTATTATTTTTATATTCATATTGTGTGTACCTCGGCCCGAGCATGAACAGAAGCTGTATTATCGTTGGCTATGAAAGTAAGAATCGATTTCAGATCCCTGCAAACTGTCTCGGCACTCTCGAAGGCGCCCAATTGGATGCACAGCAGAGTGCTCAATCTGGCCGCTGTTGACTGTTCTTCACCCCGTCCTTTCTTCAGGCCGCGCTCCACGGCATCTGTGATGGTCATCTTTCTGTCCTCCACGAAATCGGGTATATACTTGATGGCGAAAATTTTCTCGATTCCATTGAAACAGATGAGCCGGCCCTTGGCACTCTTTTGCGTCAGCCCATCGATCGCCTCTTTCAGCTTCTCTTCGAACGCCTCTTGCTGCGCGAGCTCATCTACCTCGTTGTCGTTTGCATCCTCCAGCATACTACGATTGTCAGATTGGCCACTGGTATCGCTGCACGCATCATTGTTGATCGAATCCTCATCAGATGTAAACTCAGCTCTTTTTCCACCTGTCAGAATATAAAACATATGATTTAGTCATGCTACGTATGTAGCTTTCTGTACGTGTATAACGCACGCACGCACGCACGCACGCACGCACGCACGCACGCACGCACGCACGCACGCACGCACGCACGCGCGCACACACGGATTTTAAATTATTTTTATATCATTATGCGGGATATTAATTATGATTAGCAAAGCCAAATGTGAAATGATTGACATATACATGACAAACTGTTAATAAAGTGATATATAGAGGTTGAATTCCGTAAAGCGCATATGCGTGCATTACGTTATACGTGACATGAATCTCTAGATAAATACGCCTATATACCTACACGCCTTTTCGGAATCCGGCTTTGTAATCTTTAATTTATTTATTACGCTGTCATACAATTATCAGCGATTATTAAGCAGATTAGTAATCTTAATAAGATTAATAATCTTGATATTCCTAATCATAAGAAAATTTTTTAGAAATTGTTTGAAAATGATTCGATAATACTTTATCTTTATCAATAATAGATAGACAGTTAAAGTTTTAAAGTTTTAAAGTTCATGTCAATCGAAAACGATGCACAACTAACGATACAACTAACAAGTAATTTAAAATCCTGAGAAAAATAATAATAGTTCCTGAAAGTGAATGTCATGTTACATAATGTGAAATCTACAAAACTATATCTGTTTCGTTAACAGATAAGTTAATATTCCAAAGTGAAGAACGAGAACAATTTAAGTAAAGATAAAGATTACACAATGAATATATTTTTCAATTTCAGTATGAAAAATGTCTCATATAAAAGATATGAAATGTGCTAACGTGATTAATAACAATAATATTTTATACTTCACTAAAAATCAAATATTTCTTATAATAAACTATAAATAGTAATTATAAATAATGTTACATAAAAATAAGTATATATTTTTTACTACATTCGTCATACATGTACGCACAAATTGCATTAAATATATTTTTAAACAATAATTTCCATAGTTATCCACATTTTGTAAAAAATGTACACGAACGCGCCATCAAATAATTGAAAGCATCGTATAAAAGCATCGTATAAATAATTTCGCGTTAATCAAGTTCGTAACTTTCGAATCATCACGAATTCTTTCAGCTATACTCAAGGTTCATCGTCTGGAAAAGATTATAGTTATCGCCGAATCATTACGGCAACACAGCAAAATATGCAAAATCCGATTCATTTCAACAGATGCGCAATATGGTATAATAAGAACTCGCAGTTTAAAGATCTCATTCATTTCATTTCATATTTCATTGGTGAGAAAAAGAAGATAAAAAGTTAAATTCTTTGGGGATAGGAAGTATTTTTTACACGAAGATAATCGATTTGATCATGGTTAGAAAGATAGATATCAAAGAAACGAGATGTACTGTAAGACAATTGAATTTGATAAATCTAGATAATATATAATCCATTGCAATCACGATCATGTCGATTGCGATCGATTGCGCAAATTCCTGTTGCGCAATTTACGTGTATTTTATTGCGATTTCGAGGTAAGAGCGTTATATGTGAATAACGAATAAACGAAAGAAAAAGTTTTCCTTTGTCGTTTTATCGTTTCAAGGTTTTTTCAAAAGTTAAAAGATAAAATATATGTGTTTTATATATTGCGTGAGATTTTACATGCACAATGTATTCGCCTCGCATAATTGAATATTTAGATTAAGAATTTATTTCAACTAGTTATTAATGTCGTCATTGCGTCATAAAACGTGTAAACGATTACAATGTACGATGTCACATTTTTTGTCGCGCTTGACAGCTTTTTATAACGTTTTTTATAACCTCTTATGAGGTGCTCTTTTTTTATTCACGTGAGCGCGAATATTCCCGCATGTCTTATGAAAACATATTTCTCCAAGTGTTTCGCGTTATCGTGACGAAAAGAGGCCCGTTGCTGGAACGCGTGTCAGCAGTTCCATGTGTCATGGAAACATGAAGGGGAGAGGAAGGGGAGTAAAGCATGAAAGTCACATGGGGGAACCATGTAGCGTCCGCCATAGTCTCGAGAAATGCATTTTCGCGCGCCAAGGAGACGGAGAGACAAAGAAAAATAGAGATAGAGATGCCCAATGACGATGGACAAATCTCGGATCTGCTTTCGGAAAGCAGGTAGGCTCGCCGCGATTGCGACGAGGAGAGGCGAGATGAGGCGAGATGAGGCGAGATGTGACGTAAATGAAGTCGATGAAATATATAAAACTTCCATTCCGGATGAATCATCGAGAGACGGACAAATGGATGAATGGACGGACGGATGCGCGAATCGATAATTTAATAATGCCGAGCACGTGACGCGCATTCGTTTCTCACCAGATCGCGAACTCTTCCTTTTTTTTCTTCTCTCGAATAAAGAGGAGTGAGGGAAAGACGAGACGGTACATTTGTATCGAGGTGTCACACAATTCGGGAATCGCACATTCGCTCTTACCGTACTTTCCTCTTCTGCCCCCTTTGCCTGGCATCGTTCCTCAACTTGCTTATTGCACAATTGATATTAGATGAAAGACTCGATCAAGAGGGTAAATGTCTCGAACTAGTGTTTTTCTTTCGTATACTGAATACGCCACGTGAATTTTTCGTTGGGAGTAGATGAAAACTCATTAACATGTTGTAGAGCGTTCAGAACATACACGTCGAGATAGCCTACAATGGGCTTTCTCAAGTGCACTGATCGTTCGTCGTTTCTCCTGCTGTGTTCTCTCCCCGGCCACCAGGCGAACGTGCTCGATCTATCTCGAATATGGCCGAAGATATCCGAATGCGATTCGCGCGCCCACAGTCTTCTTTCTACGCATGCATGTGGCAGTATGACGTCATGTTAAACACGAATTATAAGCCTGTTCTGTAACGGTTTTACTTTGATATTATATAAAAACACTTTGATATTAGATAAAAAAAAAGATCTTATTCTTAAAGATCAACAATTATAATTGAAAGTTCGTGTGCCTAAAATTTAAACAATTAGTTATACTAAATGTACTATAATATTAACATTATTAATTTATTATAATCTATTATAATATTAATAATTTATTTATTAACTTTATGTATCTTTATTTATTAACTTTATGTTAATATATGAACATGTTCATATATTTATAATTTTTTATATTTAATTTTATTCAACATTGAATTTTTTATATTTTTATTTACGTTATCTCTCTCTCTCTCTCTC